GTGAATCTGCGCTCATAAACAGTCCAGGTTTGTTAATAGTTTGCTTGGTTACCATGGAACCAGGTGACGAACAGACCTCTGTGGTTTTAGCTCGCGTGTTTCTGGGTTAGAGGTCGTCACATTTACTGATATTCTCGCCGGCCAATGTCTTTGATGCGTCATTGCTGACGACCTGAGGGTGAAACTTGTTTCCTTCTGTGGGGACAAACCCGATGAAGAATGAGGAAGTGTTGAAATCTCGGTGTTTCTGTTGAGCTGTGGGTTGGCCTGATCCACAGAGGTGTGGGGTTTCTAAGACTGTTTTCTCCTGCTTTACACTTCCTGTGACTCACACAGATGAGTGTTTGGTTGTATAAATATCAGCTAAACTTTAGAAATGAACCCTGACAGCTCAGAACTGGAAATATTTCATATTACATTAAAGAACTAACTAAAAACTGCTCAGTTACTCACCAGCACCAGAGGTTAATAGTAATAATAAGATTCAGAGTTTAGCTGAAAATAAAAGACGACTCAGCTGCTGCTCAAACAGAAACTGATAATAAAGCTGTAAAATCATAAAGGAAAGATGGTGAAGCTCTAAAACACTCGTGTCTTTTTCTGTTGTCTCAATGAACTCACCTGTAAAGAGCAGCATTAAAAATGACTCCAAGCTTTCAGTCTCAGTGAAAACAAAGACGCTGGACGTTAAAGAGTTCATAACAAATCTGAAATTTAAGCACGTCATAATTAATTATTAATTCTTTATTTAACCAGGAAAGACCCACTGAGATTTAAAATCTTATTTACAAGGTGACCTGAAAAAAACTAAATTTACAAATTATGAAACATCATTGATCACAAAAATCTAAATAAAAAGTTCAACGGTGTCACCAAATAATTCAACAAACAACACATTTGCATGCAGATCTTTGAGTGTTTAAAATATTGACCATTTGTTTAAACAGACTCCGAGAAACAAGATCCTTGTAAAGGATCCTTATAAATTTATATCTGGAAGATCTGCTGCAGATCCTTTATAAATGAGAATATCCTAATGGTTTAATGTTCCCACTGATAAGACTTCACTCAAAAGACAAATCTGAATTTCGGTTTCAGTTTTTTTCCCAACTTGTCATGGTCCAGGGTCCCAGCGTTCTCAGTTCTCTGGTGTTTTTGTCGTTTCGTTCACTTTGTTAGTCTAAGGTTATTCTGTAGTACCTAGGTTGTTCTGTTTAGCTTTTCCTCCTTGTGTCTTTGCCCTCTGAGTGTCTGTTTGTGCTTATGTGAGTTCTTGTGCCTTGTTTCCCCTCCTTGTGTTTTAACTCGCCATGTTTATCTGTTTCCCATCCCTTCATGTCTGCTCTCTCTCTCCCTCGTGTTTCTCGCTTCCTCTCGTCTGCCTCTCCTCCTGTCCGGCATCATGTTCCTCTGTTTCCTGTTTTATTGTGAAGGGCTCATGTTTCCATGTTCATCACGTTCATGACACCAACTGTTTGATATGAGACTTGGAGGGAGGAGAGAGAATCACCAGTCAAGAGTTAGATACCAAATCAGTCTTCCAACCGCGAAGAGCTGTGATAGATGGAAAAGTCAAAGAATTTAATTTAGTGTTGGAAACAACATGTATTTATTTTTTTGCATTGAAAAGTAATTTTGAACAGCACAAAGTTTGCTGAACAGTATTAAATGATTGTTGGAGCTGAGGTGTAGAATACATCACAGTGTCGTCAGCATAAAAATGGAAATTAGTGTTCTATACTCCTTGATCAACATTAACATATCTGGTGAATAATAATGGCCCCAGGACTGAACCCTGGGAATCACATCAAGGAAGCAAGATCAAAAAATGATCAGACCTCAAAAAGATGTAGATAATGGGCAGTTACAATGTAATAATAATTTAGGGCTTGGTTTTAAAAAAAATTAATATATTTGTAGCAATGACACAGTGTGTTACATACATTATGTCCATCCATCCATCTTCTTCTGCTTATCCGGGGCCGGGTCGCGGGGGCAGCAGCCTAAGCAGAGAGGCCTAGACCTCCCTCTCCCCAGCCACCTCCTCCAGCTTATCCGGGGGAACACCAAGGCGTTCCCAGGCCAGCTAAGAGATATAATCTCTCCAGCGTGTCCTGGGTCTGCCCCGGGGCCTCCTCCCGGTGGAACAGCTCACCCAGGGGGCATCCTTGTCAGCTGCCCAAACCACCTCAGCTGACTCCTTTCGATGTGGGGGAGCAGCGGCTCTACTCTGAGCCCCTCCTGTATGGTCGAACTTCTCACCCTATTTCACCCTTTGGAGGAAGCTCATTTCCGCCGCTTGTATTTGCGATCTCATTCTTCGGTCACTACCCACAGCTCGTGGCCATAGGTGAGGGTAGGGACGTAGATCGACCGGTAAATTGAGAGCTTCGCTTTTGCACTCAGCTCTCTCCTCCACAATAGACCGGTACCAATCCTTCTGTCAATCTCCGGCTCCCTTCTCCTGTCACTCTTCAACAAGACCCTGAGATACTTGAACTCCTCCACTCGTCCCGGGATGAGACCCTGACCCGGAGTGGGCACTCCACCCTTTTCCGGCTGAGAACCATGGCCTCAGATTTGGAGGTGCTGATCCTCGGCTTCACACTCGGCTGCGAACCGTTCCAGTGCCAGCTGGAGGCCTTCACCCGATGAAGCCAACAGAACCACATCATCCGCGCAAAGCAGAGATGAGATTCTGAGACCACCCAAGTGAAAGCCCTCCGCCAGTTGGCTGCGCCTAGAAATCCTGTCCATAAAACTTATGAACAGAATCAGTGACAAAGGGCAGCCCTGGCTTCAATGCTAAGTTGTTTGTCAGTGATAAATGTGTTGAGTCATGGATTATACCCAAATATGAAAAAAGTCCATCTTGGGCAACAAACTACATACATTTAAAAGGAGAAGTCCAGTCTTTGCTCTAAAGTCATGATGTGAGTATCAGGCTCAGCAGAGTCGCTGTTCATCAGCTGGGAATGGGACAGTAAGCACGCCTGACACTTTGGTTTGATGTAAGCAGCTCGCACTGCTGATATTACAGCTGAAGGAAGCTAACGAGTACTGGGCCTAGATTTCAGCTGCAGTGGTGTAAAGAGTTCAAACTTTGTGATGATGTATGAACCAGGAGACCATCCCAACCAGTCTCCAAATGTGAGCCTGAACTGAACTTCCTGTCTCTGCTTACAGGTGATCTTCACCCACAGAGGCTACATTTCAACACATTTAATCTCCTGTTTAATGTTCTCATCCTGCAGCTGAAGGAAACTTTAAAGTTTGGTGTGTGTGTGTGTGTGTGTGTGTGTGTGTGTGTGTGTGTGTGTGTGTGTGTGTGTGTGTGAGGGATGGGTATCAGCACGGATTAGTGAGTAAAGGTAAGCGTGTCTCTCCCTGTCTAGGCGGATTTCCATTCCTCTCCTCTCTGTGCGGTCACACACACCGTCCCGGTTTGAACCGCCGCTGCCGCCTCTTCTCATCTCATCGTCTCCTCTCGGCCGCCCGTCTCGCTCCTGTTTTTTTTCTTTGTGTGTGCGTTTATGTGAGAGCTCTTTATTTGTTTGTCTGAGGCCATCGTGCAATGCCATTCCTCCCCCAGGACGCTGAGCGATTCGATGGGCTGTCTCTACTCTACTGGTAAGCTAATTCTTCCTCCTCCTCCTCCATCCTCTCTCTCTCTTTGTTTTAATGGAGAAACTTGTCTCCTGTACATGCTTCAGTGCTTTTGTTTTTCTGCCTCGCTCTCTGCTCATGTGGGTCGCAGACTTCAGAGGTGAAGCAGGTTTACAGGCTGTTTGGCGCCAGATGCCGCGGAGTTTAAGTCCACATGCTTGTACGCAGTTCTGGGTCAGAGACGCTTTAAAGGACAGTGCAGCGCTCGCTGCTCCGCGCGGATTTCCATTCTTATTCTATTGTTTTGCCTTCCACCAGATTTTAGTGGCACATACTTTTTTTACTCCAGTGCTCTGATTTACTCATGTTACACCTGAAGGTCACACATTTCAGATAAAACAGTGCTGCTGTCGTCGGGTGAAAGAGCAGAATGAACTCTTAGCTTATGAGAACCAAAGTTTGGCTGCAAGTACAGATGATTTAATCCTGTAATTTAATTTAAATTTTTTTATTCCTGTGAATTTTCTCTGTTGTTGTTACTCGTCTTTGCATCGCTTTGCATGCATGAAAGCTTTCGATAGGCCAAGTTAGAACTGCACAGTTTAACAAAACGTGCACAGCCGAGATGCTCAAACCAGAGAATTTATTGTAAAATGAACAAACTAATAGCTGCACGGACTCTGAGATTATGGGCTGCTACTATAAAATAGTCCATCTCTGATCACCATCTCTCAGGTCACAGACCTACAACTTAACACGTCATCAGCCCTCCAAAAAGACAGCTGCTTGATTGTAGGAAAACAATCATATCATCTGTAGTTGTGGAAGGATCATTTAAATTAAAGGCATTAAAAGTTGACATAGGGTCAGGAATTAGTCCGGACCTCCTGCCGGTTTACCTCCGCAGTGGGGTGAAGAGAGGTACAGGGATCAGCACACTCACGTGCCTCAGGATCAGTCCTTATGTAATGTTTTTCTACTCTAACTGATCCTTACTACTTCTCTCACGCACATTTGAATCGATGTTTTGTCTAAAACATGCAGGCACACATTCACAGTCACAGTGCGATGAGTCCATCAGGGTTCAGTGTCTGGCCCAAGGGCACTTTGGCATGCTGACTGGAGCATTGAGGGATCAAACCACCAAACCCTGAGTGACCCTGATGAAAAGGCATCCAGTGACAGTCGTTCCATGGTTTCACCTCCAGAACGCTTTGGTTTTGCCTCCTCTGCATGAATGTTATGAACCTCCGTTATTTTAGCTGGAACTGAAATAAACAACAACCACGTTCTGGGTTTAGAAAGAGATAAAAATCCACGGCTGCAAAGGGACCTGCTGCTGATGGACAGACGAGCCAGGTTAGGCGTAAACACATGCGTGGATATCACCTAGATATCAACATCAGATTGACTGATGGTTTATTGCAGGAATGTACTCAACAGCAACACGTTGCAGTGGTAGTTTCTGTGTCATCTCATCAGTCTATCAGGGGGTTGTGGAGGAGTTTTGCTCCACTCTTCTTTGCGGCGTTGCTTCGTTTCATTCAGGTTTGCAGCATTCATTCATGCACAGCTCTCTGAGCTCTGCAGCAGCTCCATTCTTTTCTTTTTCAGTTGTTCTGTTGGAGATCTGCTGCGGTCCTGTTGATGACCCAGTTTGGTCCAAGTTTCAGCTGTGGGACAGATGGCCTCACACTGGCTCTAGATTACTTTGGTATACAGAGAAGTTTACGGTGCACTAAGATCATCATCCCTCCACCACCGTGCTCATGGTCGTATGAGGTTTGGTTTCATCCAAGCATGCTGCTGTGCATTAAGGACAAACAACTCCACTCTGGTCTTGTTCACTGCAGAAGTCTTTGCTTTGTTCAGACACAGCTTTACAGATGTAAAGAACTTCTGCTGCAGTTCTGTGGAAACCTTCTGCTTCAGTCATCTGAGCATCTTTAACCTCCTAGGACCTGGCGTCCACATATGTGGACATCACATTTTGGGTTGTCTAGACCAAAATACTAAATTTTGCTCTACAAGGACCTACGAGGACATTACACTGCCTCTGTTTTATCAAAATTTAAAACAAATATCCTCATATGTGGCTCTCATTCTTCTTAGAAACAAAAATTGGTTTAAAAAAAAAAATTTGGTGATTCTTTGTTTTTACATTCATCAGGTCCAATATGCCCAAATATCAAAGAGAAATTAAAAATGCTGCCATGGAAGAGTTCAGGTCTTAGGAGGTTAAGCAGCTCTAATGTAGACTCACCATTATTATACACGCCATGTTAGGACCAGTGTTAGGGCTACAGAACTGCATTAACTCTCCATGGCACAGATTCAACAAGGTGCTGGAAACATATTGAAGTGTTGAATGTTGGAGAAATCAAAACAGGAACTGCAGTTTTACGAGTGTTATGAAGTATTCAGCTCAACTGTATTAAACAGCATGACTCCTGGCAATCAAATAAACACACTCCATGATAAGCATCCCTTACTTCTTTTTATGTACTGGCTATGAATGAGACATGAAAGTGAAACGTGAGCCAGCAGTTCGGGTTTCCTGCACAGCTTCCTGTGTCTGGTAATAATCTGTCAGCGTATGGATCCATCCCCATCACTCAAGCTGGGGAAAACATCTGCTGCGCTTCACCGCAGGGAGTCTCCTCTTTGTGTTCCCCCTCTCATGCTTTTATTTGACACTTAAACATACAGAGAAAGACGGCAAACAGACAGGAGCAGATTAAATATGCAAACACCAAACAGTAATCCTCACGCGCTGCAGCTCTCTGTACATTTGCATAGCTCACGGATCAGCGTGCATTTTCATCAGTTTAGACTGAAGAAAATAAGTTATCTGTTCATTTGGCTGCACAGATATTTAACACAACACTGGAAGCAAACATTCAAACCTGAACTCACTTCCTTCTCTTCCTTCATTTTCATGTGATCCTCTCTTTGCTGGAACATTTGAATGAAATTAAATCCTGGCTTTCACAGCTCTTGGGGGAGGTGGGGTGACGCTCAAGCAGCAACTTCAACGGCTGAAAAATGAAGTGAGTGGAATGAGACAGAAACTGCAGTTCTTTTAATGTCCACATAAAGGATGTTCAGCTTTAAATGTCCAGCTTTACAGCAGAAGTTACGTCTGAACTTAAACCTTATTGTCCAGCTGAGTTTATTTCCCCAAACTTTAGAGGAGACTTCACTAAGTGGAATTAGTATGTGTGATGAAATCATACAGTGCAAGGATGCAGCTAATCAAGAAGAAGACAAATAAGAATTAGACTGTTTTTACCTTTCAGTTCTCAGTCCTCATTGGTTTTTGGATTAAAAGAAGCATTTTGCTAATGTGACATCTCAGATACAAGTTGGTGTAACTGTCCAGCTGGTTGCTGCAGAGAGGTGCATGGTGCTGCTTTGGTCTCTAGCAGAATCAGCATCACCTGTTGTTCACGTGGAAGAATGATTCACCAAGTGCTAGTGACACTGTGAAAATGCTGACTGGAGACCTTTCACCTTCAAAGTAAAAGTTCCACCTTTGCTGGTTTGCACTGCATGTTTTAAAGCTACACTTTTGCTCAGAGTGTAAATGTTAATATTTTGCAGAAAGGTCTGCATCTTTCATTAAAAACTTCAGCTGATCGCAGCCGTCTGCCTGTGATCAAAGCAGTTGCAAGGAGGTTTTTGGTGCAGCAACCTCTTTGCAACCGATCTCACCCAGCAAGCCTCCTGAAACCATCCACAACCACTGCGGGAACACACGTTTTTCCCAAGTGACCGGAGGTTCCAGGGTGTAGTCTACTCCTCTGTAGGCCTTAACAGGTGGACAAAGAGCTGATGATGACTGTGAAGGAAGAGCTAGAAGACTTTAACCTACCATCAGTTAAAACACTCAGTCATCTGTGCCTGTGGACAAAGACCCTGAGGTGGGCTCAGTTAATGTTAAAACTTTGTCAGATGTTGGAACATCTGAAATATGTGCCTCACTTTAGAAGTGAGGGTAAAAGAGGTTTTCAGGTGGAGAATATGTGACCAGGCTTCTCTTTAGATATAATTTTATTGTACATGGAATTGATCGCTTTAAACCAGCAACATTAAACTGGTGATTGTTCCATTATTTCATTAATTACCAGTTACTAAAAATAGAAAAAAGTCAGTTAAAACTGTGACACATGGATCTGTTTAATATCTACATAACAGCACAAAACCTCAGGGACATCTCTTTCAGTTTCATTGATGCAGCCAGTAAACTATACTGCAGGTTTAAGTGGAAGGTCTGTCTCTTCTGCAGGTAAAGCTACAGATAGGTGCATAGGTGTAGGCGATGGTGGTCTGGAGGCTCTGCAGCGGTGTTAGCATGTCCTCGCTGGCGCCCGGCCTCTGTGGGATGTTAATCATTTGCGACAGGTCGTGCAGATTATCAGGTATTAAGTGATCAGTTTAATTGCTCCCTTGTGTCCCAGCAGTTGGCTTTGCTGCACATTGTCAGCTGCTGTCGTCTGTTTGTGGGCCTGGGGGAGCTGCTGCTGTCAGGTTACTGATGTGGAAAGGTACGTTTGTTTTACGTTTTTACGTGTAGTAGACAAACTCACGATAATGACTCTTCATCGCTGAGCCGGGGGCAGGCGGAAGCCAAAGGTTATGCAGAGTGATAAGATCTGGCAGCGTCTTGCTGTACTGATCCAGGCTTACAGTGAATGCATCAAATACCCAAGTGAGTCTGAGCATTTAGATCTGAGTTCATGCCTGCACTGATGTGTTTGACAGGAGAGATTCTCATTGGCCAAAAGAAAAATCCAACTATAAATTAACTATAATGGAAATCTATAAATGGAATAAAACGAGACTCCACACCATCTTTAGGACACAGAATTTCACTGTGCACCAAAACTGGAGCTGTTAGCCGTAAAGCAGCCATATGATTGGACATTTTAACATTGAGTGGCCTTTTCTTTTTTTTTTTCCTTTTTTGCCTGTCCCGTTTGGCTCTTTTGCATCAGAATTATTGTCTAAAGGCGAGGAAAGAT